GCTGTGAATTCAGAGTTTTCTTTTTTTATTTCAGAGTTATTTCTGATCTGAGTTCTTCTATACCTTTCTGCAGTTGTTTCTTTTCTTCAGATGCTATTGTTTCAGACATCTCAACTGCTTGATTCCCAATTTGCTCTGTATTAGTGTCATCTGTACTTGTTTTGAGTGGGATCTGGGCTTGAGATAGCATTTTGCTCTTTGTCTTTGTCATTTTGTATGGGGTGGAGGGATCCTTAGAGAGCTCGGCAGAAAGCACCCCGAGAACATGACGGAAGGTCTCACGGGGCTGGCCTGGGCTTGATTTGGGGAGATCCAACCAGCACAGGCAAGTGCAGGACGTCACCCCCACACTTGCTTGGATTGAGCTTCTCCATCACTTTTGTATGTTCCTCTGTTATTTAGTTCTGTTTTCTCTAGGTATGCTAAGCAATTTTTTTTCTATTGTTATTTCATTTTATCTGAGAGATCATTTCTGATCTGATTTTCTTATAGCCTTATGAAGTTATTATTTATTTCATTTGCTATCATTTGTGAAATTTTATTTGTGTAATCATCAAATTCTTCTATGTTGCTGTCTCCTGGATTTGTTTTGGGTGGGTTAGCTTTCTGAGATTACATTTTGCTCCTTATTTTGGTCTTTTTGTTTAAAATATTTTTCTTTTGTTCTCTCCAGTGATGCTTGTGGGTATTAGTAGTAGGAAGATATACAATGAATGTCACAGCTTCTCCAGGAATAGTCTGTACTTAAGGAAAATGAGTTGAAATATATTGGGTCAGGATCTACCATAATAACCCTATTGAAGAAAAGAGGAAAAATTAGTAAAAAGTTAAAACTTTAGAAACTATATAGAATTTAATTAAAGAAAATGAGAAGAATTCAACAGTGGTTGTTACATTTCACATAGTTCATTTCAAATTAGTTGCTCAGGGGTTGGGGAGATGGCTCCATGGGATAAGCGCTTCCCTGGCATGTGCAAGGGCCTGCGTTCAATCCCGTTTCAGAAAAAAAATAGTTGCTCAGATTGCCAAATATAAACATTTAACATGGGTTAAACATTAAAAATAAAAAAATAATATCAATTGTTAGCTTTAATAGGTAAGTAGTAATCAGCAGTACAACTATCCAAGCCATCCTGTGTATAGACATATTTTTTCCTTTCCTCATTTTTTTTGTCTCCCTTATCTTATCCCAAATGTTCCATCCCTTTGAATATGTTATTTTCCTTTCACAGTATCTACTGTACCTTTCGAATTTTATTTACTCTTTCAGGTTCTTGCGCTATGAAGACAATATGATGCTTGCACATATTTTCCAGGCTTCAGTTGATGGGCATTTGTGTTGTTTGCAAGATTTGACTACGGTAAATTTTGCTGCTATAAATGTGGGGGTACATATATAGCTATAATATGATGTTTTCAGTTCTGGGAAAATACACAGGAGAGAAATAACTAGGTTGAGTGGGACCTCTAATCCTAAAATTTAGGGATCTCCACACTGATTTCACAGTAACTTCATCTTAAATTATAAAACCATTCTATTTATTTTGTTGCAGCACATTCACAAATACCAGGCATCAGGCTTTTACACTGCACTGGAAACACAGTTCAATCCAGAGAATAGTCTAACCCAAGTTAGAGAAGAAGGCTTGAGTTTGACAAGTCATGTATTTATGTAGAGGACTCAATGTTCTCAAATATGTTTATGTTCTAGTGGGATACAACTTACAATACCCAGGTCAACAGATACATAAAATTTATATTTAAAAATGTCTTTATAGAATTTATTAAACCTATTAGATTCAACATATCATCTTTTATTAGTTTTAATTGGAAAGAAGTTGAGACGATTTCAAAATACATTAGTAGGATAGTTACAATAATTAATGCATTGCATATTGTTGTCTTCATAGTATTTCTTCAGAGTACAAGATGCAGTCATGATATCAGTAGTAGTGAGTTATGAGCAGAACCGGCAATGTCAGAAGTTGTTGACTTGAGCCTTTTACATCTCAGCATATTGATATCATGTTATATAATTATTAATTACATTTTTCTCATTCATAAGACAAAAAATACCCAACAACCAAAGTTAAAGGAAGACAGCTTTACTTATCTCACAGCTTTCTAGAGGTTTTCACCCATAATCATCTGGCTCCAAAGCCAGCAGATAACAGAGGTCAAAAAGTAATTAAAAGCAGGACGAACAAAAGAGAAATCATGCCTCATTCTTCCAATTAGGTTGTAAGCACACACCTCCACCAAGGTCAGTTGTAGTGTTCACACCCTTTCCATGCAACGCTCTTGCACATGCTCAGGAGTGTTACAAAATGAGGATCCTGGATGCCTCCAGGTCACTACTAAGCTTCTCAAGTTGACACAATAAATCAGGCATTACGTGCTTGGGCATATTCTCTACAATTCAGGATATGGAATTCCTGAATTACCTAATTGAGCATCTAAACTTCTCCTATTGACACATTGTATGAAGCATTACAGTTATTATAAAATTATTATAAGTTCATTACAGCATAGAATTTTTTCAAACTCTTTGACAATTTTGCACTTACAGCCCAACTTTATCTTGACTAGCTGAATTTCAAATGCTAGTAAGGACACTGGGCCAACATCTTCAAAATTGGGAAATAAAACTTTTCTAAAGCTATTCACACTTAATATTTAAAGTTTTTCCTTACAAATGTCAACATTTCTTTTCATCTTTAACAGATCACCTATAAGTAACAAGACAATTTATTTTTATTAGAATTTGTATTCATTTTAAAGAGAAAAAAAGAATAGCAATGAAACAGTTTCAAAGCAGGTTAGTAGGACATATACAATAATAATACATTGTATATTGTTGTCTCCATTGTAGTTATAGGGAGGACAAGATGCAGACATGATATATTTTCTAAAAAAATATTAGTACAAACTTTTATTCTTGGTGAACTAAGAGAAAATAGTTGTATATGTATCCTAACTCTCATATATATTTTTTTTCTTCCACCTCCTTTTTTATAACAAAACTGTCCTTTATTTACACTTTTGTGAAGTGGGTTATAACACTGGGTTGAAAACATTAACCGGACAGGATGTTCATTTCAGGAGTGAGGTAGCTTGCTTGTTTTAGGCACTCTGCCAACTCCCACCTTCACATATTTGATTAATTTTCTAGCTTGGCTCCCAACATAGCCCCGTTTAACATTTTTCTTTTTCAGCGATGGGTTTTCCACTTCAGTTAGAGAAGCTGTATTTGGAGAAGTGTTTACAAGATGTTCTCATACTTGAAACAAGTCTAAAGATTTCAGGTACTTAATTCAGCAAAATAACCCAATATAGTCCAATAGTCCATGATAGTAATGGGTTATCAGCAGATCTGGTAATTATCAGGAGTTGCTGACTTGAGCCTTTTACAGCTCAGCATATTAATATGGCATAACTTTATCTTTCATGGTTATCCTTTACTGCTGGAAAAAAAGACTAAGTTAAAGAAAAACCTACTTAACTAAAAATGTAAATTTTATATTTGACAAGGTCTGTCAAATCCCCTTAGGATTTAGGCTGGAAGCATGTATAGTGCTTTGTATGTCTGTTGTCAGTGTCAGCCATCTATATGAGTCACAGACATTGCTTAAACAATTTGCTCTCTGTGAAAGCCTCAGATAATTTTTTTCTTTCTAGGTGACTCTCCATAGGCACAGTATAGATCATCAATCACTTTCTTCTGTGGCTCCATATCTCCATGATCAGAAAATTTGGGACACCGCTGAGTTATAGGATGGCACAGCATAGGTTCTCTTATGTCCTGAGTCCTCACTGAACTTGGAGTGCTAGGGCAAAATTGACTATCCTTGTGGTGCCTCTAGTTGCTAATTTTTGGTTTTCAAACTTTACATGTTAAATATCAAGTAGAGAAACTTAATGATATTATTGCCCGTATTAGAGACTGTTGACCTTAACATCACTATCTGTCTTAATATCAAATGTCTTACACATAACACGGAACTTCTGTTTGCCAGCAACCATGGATATTCTGAACATTAAACCCCTACAGAATGAGAAACATACAAATTTATAAGCCTTTGCTTAGACCTATATAATAAAGTCAAAATTTGCATTGAGGCTCATCCCTTGTACTGGTTATTTAGATTTTGACAAATACAAGACGGCATGCATTCAACTAATAAATTATTACTTAGAATAATCTATCTACACTACAAATTTCACTGAGTTTGAGGGCTATGAATGTTTCCTACACTTCCCTACTTTTCAAAAGTTTCAGTGATTGGAAATACAGAAGTCATTTTCAGCCTTACTCCTTTGCTTCAAGGTAAGGGAAAAAGAAATTTGTCACACAGATTCCTGTTCTCATAAAAGCCTAAATCATGGTGGAATTCAAGGATGTAGAAATAGAAATGAATTCTGACAATATTTTGAATCATGGAATGAAGATACTTGAAAGGACCAAGCATTGGGGAAGTATGCTAAGTCACACAACTCCAAAGTGCATTGTATCTCTGCACAGATCTTCAGTCACTCGTTTGGATTTCCAGAATATAGTGCAATTTGTACCCCAGACATTGGAAATTAAGTGTGGCTATGAGTTTCAGAGCATGTAACTGGTACACAGAGAATTCAGATATACAAGGAATGTCCTGTGGCTGTAACTCTTGGTCATGGGCCTGTCAAATGATAGCTCTTTATCTCCCACTTTGGAAAGAATAATGCTTAGTATTTCTTGACCAAGCTTGAGGCTTTTCAGAATATTTCAACATAATCCTAGCATTAAATGCTCTAGTGCAATCTATTAACAACTCCGCTAGTGTCATCCATGCTAGTGGCTTATTGACAAAGACTTGAGAGCAAATCTGCCCAGGCAGAGGTGGCCCCTGGGATACTGCTATCAGTAGAACTGCATTATGGTGGCTCCCTCTGGAGAAAATGCAACTCAATCACAACTTCTTCCTTCTGTTTTTCTCTTGGATGCAAGACCTCAGATTTACAGGCCTGAGGATATTGGTGGCAAACTTCTCCAGGGACATGGAGCAGCCACTGTTGAAAGGCGATGGAGCATCAGACGGTCCACCTGAGTCAGAAAGTGTCAGGTTGAATCACATCACACATATAAGGTATTTATTTACTTGACTCAGATTGCAAGTTTCCTCTTCACTCAGCCATAAGCTTTGAGTAGGCATCTAAGATGTTTCCCTTCATTGTTTTCTTCCTTCTCCTGCAGCTTCCTGCCTTAGTGTGCACTTTTGAAAATGAAGGCTGCCTTCACCTCAGGAGCACCAGTGTGCAGATGGATGGAGATGTGGTGATTGGGTGTTTCTTGTCTCTTTATTACTATATCTACTATACTGGTGTCCTTGATATAAAGCCTATTACAGACTTCTATTTCATTCAGTAAGTCTCTCCTTCACTTATTTGTTTTCTTGTGGATATTAGGATAAGAATGTCTATGGATATGGATAATGGCTATAGATAGCTTCATCAAAATTCTCTATACTGCTGCCTCGCTGCCCATCCACACGTGTACAAGAGGCCTGTTTATAGGTATTCCTGGTCCACTTTTTATACTTCTGAATGTGGAAAGAAGATATTCTTTTTATTTGTTTTCCTATCTTCTTGTTTTCACTCATAGAACCTGAGCAGGACCTCACCATCCACCGTGGTTCAGGTTCTTCCTCCTACCTCGATATCACTGCATGACATTAAGTGATGCTCTTCATCTCAATTGATCCCTTGGATTGAACTAAGTGCTAAGTGGCTGTTACCTAATATCCCCTTAGACTATCAAGGATTTGCTGGTGTTTCTCTAGGTATGCATAAATTTCCTTGCATTTTTTGCAGAGTGTCTTCTGATATTGACCCTTCTGGTTGGAATAATTTCTTCCTGTAAAATACTCAGTTATTATTTCAAATGAACCTTAGGGTGTCCTACGACTCCTAGAATTGCAAACTGGGCCCAGAGTAAGGGATGAGTCATCTGTGAGACTTTTCCCTACCAATGCAGTTATTTCTGAGTTGGATTGTGTCTCCTTTCTCTATTCAGATAATACCTTATCAGGCGATTTCCTAAAATATTAGTTGTCATAGATGTGCTCAATTACAAACATATATGTATTGTACTTATTTACAAACATGATTAATGAATTTTCCAAAGTGTCAGAGAATTCCAGTAAATGATGTGTGCTTTTGAAAGAAAAGGAGATGTCAGTGGAACAATGACTGATTTTTACGGAAGAAGCTGACCCACAGTGTTCCTGTGGCAGCAACCCATATGAAGAAATAAAATTTAATACAGAAAGATCTTCCTTGGTCATAACACAGTACCACTGCCTTGTTCTAAAGATTACACATCAGGATGTTTGGCTGGCATTCTGATATGAGCAGAAACTCATTGTTCACCTCACCATATCCCAAAGTGTTTCTTTCTAACATGTGTAGAAGATGAAAATGTTTCTTCAGATATTTGGCAGGTTCTTGGGTGCTACAGACTCCCTGATTATGGTCACGCATAAAGTTGTGACACTGAGGCTTTTTTCTCAGCAGCTCCTTTTAAGGGGCTCCCTAGTGGGAGCTCTTTGGAATCTAACCCATAGAAAGTATCTCTACCTAGACTCTTCCCAATCAGAACCACAGAAAGGGGCTACTCAGCACTAGAATAACAATTTCACAATTGGAAACCCTGCAGACCTGGTGATGTAACTTTTTCTCTACTTTTTTCTTCTGTGTAATCATGTATGTATTACTTACCACCAGCTTAGCAAATTTAGTTTTATTCTTTTTAATTTGGTGATGGAGAGTTTTCTTATATGCAAATCCAGGCCTCTGCATTAACCAGCTGGGATTATGGTCTCTAAAACTAGCCCTTATTTGTGAGCAGGGGCAGCAGAGTAAGCAACTTGGGCCTTTCCCTTCTATTTATTCCTAGACACTTGTCCTATGCTTACATAGCTCTTGATAAAGGGACATCTGGTGATGATCGTGCTACCTGAAGCCTCTGGGCTGACGGGCTTCCTCAACTTAAATTTTGTGAACAGCTGGAATTATAGGCATTTCTCATCACACACCGAATGTGTGTTTTTCTTCCATCATTTTCTAAATTATGTGTCCTTACAAATGCACTAAATTGCAAGCTTTAATTCTTGTTCTTGCTATTGTTTCTGCTTTTTGGTGACAGATGAGCAATGGTTTTGAGTGTATGACTCAGAAAACTGCTCAAAAATCTCCTAAAGTGTGTGAGAAGATTAATTATTCATGTCACACTTTGACAATTATAAGAAAGATTTTTTTTTGACTGAGAAACTGCACTCAAGGAGGGGCTCATGATGGAGTCCAGGTAATGCCCCCGGGAGGATCCTAACTAAAGAGAGCCCAGTGTGATCAGACAGCATCTGGGTATAGTGGGGGATGAGAAACTGACCAGCTATCAGGCACTATCAGATTTCAAGGCTAGTTCAGGTATATAGTATCTGTTTGTATTCCTAGGAGGAGAGAATGACCTACCTACGCTGCTGTCCTCACATGTGCTCAGAGGGTCAGGCGGCTGTTGCAGGGGGCCCTGCTCTAGACTCATGCTCTGTGAGCTCTGTCTGTGGCTGAGAAGAATGCCCTTGCACTTCTGAGTTTCTGTGTCCAAGAACAAGAGTCTCAGGAGGGAGTTTAGAATCCTATAAAATGAGAAAAGAAAAGGAAAGAAGTTTTGGAAAATAAAATGTATGTCTTTTATGACAACCTTTTGTGGAAAATTTAATTTTAATATTTTAAATGATCCTAATGCAAATACAGTGGCCATAATACTGTAGCCTTGATAGTATTTTGACTTTCTCCACATAAATACATATACTGTAAATATAGAATTATTTTGCCTCCGTTTTTTATCAACTTATTTTCCTTTCATAACATATATATGCTAATTATTATGCATGAATAATGTATATACTTTCTTCCCATTGTAATTCAATTCATACTCAGTTTTGGAATTTTCAAGTTGTTAACTAATTTCTCCTGTCATTTAAGGAGGGCAGTTGATATGTGGTACCTAGAGCAATACTCTCTGGTTAGAGCTAAAGAATATTAAACAGTACAATGGCTGTGTTAAAAAGTATACAAATAATATAA